CGGTAAGTTCACGGCCAGTCTGAGTTGGTTCTTATATAACGCGGTTCGGGAGAAAGAGAGGAAGAAAGGGAGACGAGCAATGGCAGGACGAGTGAGAGGGAATGGCGAGAGGGCAGATTATTCCGAACCGGCCTGTTCGGTGGCACACGATGCATGCACAGTGAACACAAAGAGACTTTCTGCGGATAACTTCGCCATGGAGAATTTAGCGCATCGTGTACACATTAAATCGTTGCATTTGTGACAAATGTGCGAAATTAATTTTTCATACCTGGAATGATTTCTGCTTGGATAGCGTTTTTGAAATTTCTTGCAGTATAAATATGCGGTTGTTGTTGTATCGATTGGATTGATTATAATTTTGGATAATATGAATATTTTGATAGATGGTAGTGGATGTATAATTGATAATAGTAAGAAAATATATATCATACAAAAGAATTATCTCTTATTAAAATTAAATGTTACAAAATTTCGAAATGTTAAAAAATTAATTGCATTATATTTATATCGATTTTGTTAATTTTATAATTTATTCATATTATAACATTTTACAAAATATTACTTTTGAACTATATTTGAAATTGCTATTAACTATTGCTATTAACAGCATTCGCAACATACAAAAAAAATACGATTTTTTCTCTTTATAAATCATAATTCTGAAATTATAGCATCTTAAATAATAGAATTTCTATGTTTTCTATTTCTTGTATTATTTTCTATAATATCTTATCTCACTCTGATTTTTTTGAAAAAATTTTCAAATAGTTTTTCATAATATACATGAACAATATAAAGTTGTAAATTTTTTCAATTCATTGGTATTCTTAAAGTTTAATAGAAATTTACAAATCAAAAATCATATTTTTTTTAGTTTTTTTATTATTTTAAGTATTTATTATTATTTTGAAGAGGTAAGAAAAAGTCTCTATAAGTAGCTTTGATAATTGACAAAAAGAACCATATGTAGTGGAAAGATATGAATTCTTATCACAAATTGCGTGATAATGTTATATAAAAGTTTATATATTAAAAATTTACCAAATAAAGCTTATATAATTACTATTATATAACGATATTATCTATTTTGTTTACGAGTAGATGAAATAGTTACGAGACAATTGATGTTACCTTTCTCATTTAAGTTAAGTTAGGTTAGGTTAGACACACAAATTTTAAAACCATAAATTTTATGTTTTATCTTATACATATTTATGCATTTAAATAAAATTTAAATATACAAAAACAGAATACACACAAAAAGACACAAAATATGCAAAATATATTAAATTATCGCGATATTGTATTATTTCGATAAATAATACAATAAATAATTCGATAAATAATTCGATAATAATAATAATCTTCTTTCATTTAAACTCCTTTAATTTTTTATATATAATAAAAATTTAATTTTATCTGAAACATCGCACTTTGTTTAATCACTTTTCGAAACGAAATTTTTAATATAATCTTTTAAATTATAAAAAATGAGAAATATTTGAACGTGAGTAAAAAATTGAAACATCAGAATGTAGCAACACATCTTGATCGCGCATTTTCTCACGGTGATACTTCAACCTAACCTATGTTTTCTCCTCTCTTACCGATACCGTTGGCGAATGATTACCAAGAACAATGACGCGTAGCCGCGATAACACGTAATCCATGACTAATCGTCCTTGTCGAGATCGTCCTCGTTATCTTCGTCATCGCTGATTACGTTTTACGTAAAAGGCTCCCATACCACATACGCATAAAAATATGAACCGTAACTGATTGAATCGCGCATTCAAGTGAAGTGCAGTCGATAACGTAGAGATAAAAGATTTTTAATAATTAAAATATATATTATTTTTTTATCTTTTTATACGATATGTGATATAAATATTGATTGTGATATTAAAATCTTTTTTTTTTTAACATGTTAAGTATTTGTACTTTTAAAAGCATATATATAAATTGTATATAAATTGTTTCGCAGAAATGAAGAAATGACAAGTGTAATCGTCGTACATGGCTAATAAATTAAATTTGATGCGTGGAAATTTTTAATATATCCTTTTTTTTTATTAAATTTTGAACGATTGAAATTTTTCTGTTTTAATTTAAATCTAATTTTAAATAATAATTTTTTATTTATTATTAAGTGACGATTATTTTTGTAATTTTTGAAGGAAAAAGA